TATTATTAAGCACTATGTTCCAGTGTGCTGTTAAGCACTTTACATGCGTTATCTAACTGAATACTATGAGGTAGGTATCATTGTTATTATTATTATTATTATCATTATTATTATTATCATTATTGGTTTTTTTTGAGACAGGGTCTCTCTGTAGCCCTAGCTGGCCTGGGTTCATTATGGAGACCAGGCTGGCCTCGAACTCACAGAGATCCACCTGCCTCTGCCTCCTGAGTGCTGGGATTAAAGGCATGTGCCACCACACCTGGTGTTATCTTCTTTTTTAAACAAAAATTTTTTTTTTAATTTTTATGTGTATGAGTTTTTTGCCTCCATGAATGTAACTGCACCCATATCATGTAATGCCTGCAGAGGCCAGAAGAGAGTGTCAGATTCCCTGACACTGAAGTTACAAGCAGTTGTTAACTGCCATGTGGGTACTGGGAATTGAACCCGGGTCCTCTGCAAGGGCACCCAGTGCTCTTAACTCCTGAGCCATTTCTCCAGCCCCTAGTTAGCCTTTTATTGGTCATTACTGTCTGCATGCAAATAGACAAAAAAAATTTTGTTGTTGTTTTTGAGACAGGATTTTACTATGTAGCCCTAGGTGGCCTGGAACTAACTATGTAGACCAGGCTGGCCCTGAACACAGAGATCTGCCTGCGTCTGCCTCCGGAGTGCTGAGATTAAAGGTGTGCACCACCACCCCTGGCTCTAATCCTTGTTTGAATGGACGTTTGACACCTTCTTTTGCTTTCTCTGTCAGCTGTGATTTTAGAAAATTCACGTAGAAAGTGACTAAGACTTTTGTGTTATTGTTGTTAAAGTCGAGGAGCCTTTCTTTCTCCTGTCTTCCACAGCTTGGCTTCTGACCTGGTAATCTCATCCTGGGAAATACATGCCTTGTGACTAGCCAAGTGAGTAGCATCCAGGTCACCAGAGCCTCAGCTGGTAAGACTGTCACATTTACGTACAACTCATCTCTTCTCCCCTCAAATACTCAGTGCTTGACAACTCTGACCTCACTTCTGATAAACGGGTCCTCCTGCCATCTTCCTCCCCAGGCTCATTCTTCATTCACTAGGAGGACATTCGGGCCCTCATCACAAACCCCCTCATAGGTCATTTAGAGGCTCCCAGGCTCAGCTACATGCTCAGCATCTCATGCCGACAGTTGCGTTTATGTTTGCCAAGAGCCTGCCCGACTACAGACATGTTTCTAGCGATGTGACCAAATTTTCCTGCACACATCTCTTCCAAAGTGACTTTTAGATCCACACTAATATCACCTCCTCTTGGAATATTTCTGTCTTGCTAATGAGGAGTTCCTCCAGGCATGTAACCAAGATATCCAAAGAAGTGCGAAAAGAAATGTCTCCTGGGGAGCACCTTTCAATCCTTCTTCACCATAAATACAGTTTCCATTCTTTACTGTCTGACAAAACCTCATAAGCAGCACCCTGGATTTCTCATCTGGAATTTCTCCTGGGCTTGGGAACCAGTAGTGTTCCAGTCAAGATGGAGTGGCAGGTAGTTTCCTGTAGGCCTTTTGAATAGCCTTTATAAAGGCACCCAGAGACCTTGTAGAAATTTCACCCAGTGATCATAGCCCTGATGAGGTAATCCAGTAACAGAAGGTGCTCAGGTTATGCGGAGCCTTGGTTCTCTGTGCTGGCACCCTTTCCACATGGTTCTTACAGCCTCCTTTGCTCCCCACCAGTCCCTCTGGCCTGTGAGGCTGCTTTGTGCTGGGGTTTCCATTTGGCAGAGGCAGCTGGCTTCCCAGTTTTCTTTCTTCTCATACTAGGCTGACAGCTTGAGTTGTTACCACACAGGCCATGTGGCCAGACCCTTTTCAGGAAATTCTTGCCAACCCATGACCTGTGTGAATATGTTGAGACTGTCACCAAAGTAATAAAGAGCTCTTCAAACCATGGGATTGGACTATTGGTGGTTCGTTTTTATACTTTTCTAAAACTCCATTCTTCCCCCATAATAATCACATACTGTTTCATAAATCAACAACAAAATGGAATTTTTCAAGAGTTAGGAGTGTAGCTCAGTGGTAGAATTCTTACCATACAAATAAATAATGAGATCTTGAATTCAATTCCTAGAATCACAAAAAAAAAATTTTTTTGGTCTTTTTGAAGCAGGGTCTCCTTGTAGTCCCCAGCTGTCCTGGAACTCACTATGTAGACCAGGCTGGCCTTGAACTCACAGAGATCCACCTGCCTCTGCCTCTCAAGTGCTGGGACTGCAGGCGTGTGCCACCACATCCAGCTCAGAAAAAAAAAATTTAAGGGCAGATTGAGGTCTGGAGAGATGGCTCAAAGGTCAAGAATGCATACTGCTCTCCCAAAGGACCCAGAGCCCAGGTTGGGAGGCTCACAACTGCCTGTAACTTCAGTTCCAGGGAATCTGCTATCTCTGGCTTCTGTAGGCATCTGCACTCACATGTGTGCACACACGCACACACACACACACACACCCCACACACACATACACATACACACACATGCATGTGCACACACACACATAATTAAAAAATAATAAAAACCAAATTCTTTCTAAAAGAATTTGCCAATTGCAAAGTTTTCAATTTTGTTGCACACCTACAAAACCCTCTTGTATTCTGCTCCTGTGATAGGTGTCTCCAAGGGATTTCTCCCAGAAAAGAAGTCTGGCCAGTCATAGTGGTGAACTCCTTTAATTCCAGCACTCCAGAGGCAGAAGTAGGCAGATCTCTATGAGATTAAGACCATCTTAGTCTACATATCAAGTTCCAAGCCACAGGGAAACTGTCTCAAAAAAACAAGTCTGCTCCAGAATTCATGGAGAATGGGATCCCAGGCTCCCCTTCATGGGTCCAGAACTAGCAGGGACTGAATCTGGACCTTTCTGAGTGGGTCCAAACAGCCATCATGAACCTGTACCCCTATTCAGGTAGGCTGTGTGTGACCCTAGGCCCTACAAAGCTCTGACTATTGAAACTCTGACCCCTGGGGGGTCCTACACAGTGGCGTTTGACAATTCCAGGAGATTTAAGCCGAAAAATGGGGCTGGACAGCAAGCCTTGGAGACTGAGAGAAATGGGGGCAGATCCATATCTGGGACTCACCAAGGTGGGCAGGTCTCACCAGGTCTTCTGATTGCCCCACAGATCCCCTCAAGCAAGAGCATCATCCCTCCAGCCCACCTAAGGAATGAAACTCAGAGAGGTCAGGTCAAACCAGTTGGCTGGGCAGAAGCAGACAGGTGTCTTGGCCAGGCATACCCATGAGTGCCTCCCCTTTGCTCTTTAAGGGGTTCACCTGGGATCTCAGTGCTCTCTCTGTGTCCACAGGTGTCTTCCTGCCTCCATCCCCAGCAGCAGCAAAGGAGCAGTCATAGAAGACGTGGGAGTCATGGCCCTGGCCCCTCTGGCTGACATGCTCAACAGCCCACAGCTCAGTGCTACAGCAGGCTCCCTCATGAACCCCCTGGCGGTTCCTCTCAACTCATTGCTGGCAGGGTCAATGCCTATATCACAAAGCAGTCAATTTGCCAGCCTTGAGCCCTGCCCCCTGAACAGCCACCTGACCAGTCCCATTGCTGTAACTCCTGGGGCCACCCTGGCCAGCTCACTAGGCCTGACCGCGACGGGCTCCCTGATGCCAAGCAGCCCCCTGGCAGGCCCCCTGACGGAATCTCAGAGCAGCCCTCTGATGGCCCCCCTGGCAGGCACAGTGGCTGTCTCTCTGAGCAGCCCGCTGCTCCCCTCCACCGCTGCCCCTCTAGGTGTTTCTCAGAGTGTTCTGCCCAACCCCATGAACGACCTGGGGCTCTCTGAGGCCCCAAGGGTGAGGCTGGCAGAGCCACCCGAAGGAAACTCCTCTGGACCCCATTCCTCAGCTGGTTCTGGGCCAGCTGCCACCTCCAAAGGTAACTGATACAGGGTGGGGCAGCAGGGCTCCCTGGGTAGACCAGTCACTGCTCCCATCCTGCCTCATTCTAACCCCTCCTCTCATTTCCACCCCTTCACGTCACCAGTCACCAGTGAGCACCCTCAGCCAACCCAGGACTCAGAGCCCCCCAACATGGTGTTTGTGGGTGCATCCCTCCAGACCTCCACCCCCATGAACACCATGGTCACACCCAGTCCCACCACGAATTTTTATGGCACTTCAGATACTCAGACCCAGACTGGTGCTCCCCAGGGACAAACGACCCTCAATTCTGTTCCAACCACTCCAACCAGCTCGCCTGCTAGCACAGTCCCCAACTCTGTTCCCACTTCTCTCTGCCAAACTGCTTCCCACTCTAGCGCCTCAAGAACTACCCACTGCAGCTCCTCATCCTGGGTACGCCACTCCCCAACCCAGCCCTTACCCAATACCCATTCTCTCTCCTCTATGCAACCCCCACTCCCCACCTCACACCCCATCCTCTCCGGCTTCAGTCAATGATGCCCAGGGTTCACACACGGGGGAATCATCTCGGAAGAGTATCCAGGAGATGGAGCGGAAGATGACTCACCGCAAGTCTAGCAAGTTCCCTGACAGTCCCCGAGGTCAGTACCACCAGAGGGTCTGCCTGCAGGCTATCTCCCCTCTCACACACCTGGACTGCTGACCATAGCTCTATCACTCTCTTCATCTGAGGCTCAGCCGAGACCCTCTGTCATCCTCAGAGTCAAAGCAACTAGCCTGGGAAAGGCTGGTAGGGGAGATCGCCTTCCAGCTAGACCGAAGAATCCTATCCAGCATCTTCCCAGGGCGTGTGCGTCTCTATGGCTTCACTGTCTCCAACATTCCAGAGAAGATCATCCAGGTGTGTGGTCATCATCTCATACTTTGCCAGAAGGGTCTGCTGGAATACAGCAGCATATTGATGCCTAAGGGACCAATGGGAGGGTCTGCCCTCCACTAAAGCTAAGGATGTTAAAATCTAAGGGGACCCTGGGATGGAAGAAGCCCAGGGTTCAGTCCAAGCAGCCAGCAGGTATCCAGGGTACCTGGTAGTGGAAGCCCATGATCCAAACACCACAGACTCCCCAGAAAAAGCAGGGAGGGTTCCAAGCACTGGCAGGTAACATTCCCCGTCTGCCACCAAGATAGCCTCCAGATGGGCAGCACTAACCCCAGGTGGCTGAGCCAACAGCTTAAAGAATGCTATGGCCCTCCTTCTTCAGCATCAAGACTCACCGGGAACTACAATGCACACGTCCTAGAGCCCACTGAGCAGGTGGTAGCCTTGTTGCCAGGACCCCAGGCCTGAGGCTCACCCTGTCGTCTTCTTAAATGCATCCACTTAGCCTCCTCCTACAGACAAAATGGAGGATGGTGCTTCCGAAGCTCGGTGGGGTGTGTGCCTACACCCGTGTCTTACAGGTGTGGACAGTACCGGCAAGGGAAGGAGAGCTGGGGTTGGGGGTCTGCTCTCAGCAGGATGCCCTGGAGCATCTTGAGTCCAGAGTGAGTGATGCGTGAGGCCAACCCCTCCCCAAAGGTGGGATCACTGGCACCCATCAGCCATTTGGGCTTCCCTGTGTTCTCAGCCACTCTCTTGGACCATCTTTGTATGTGGGTCATGGACATCTGTCTATAGTCTAGGTAGGAATGACCTTTGATTACATGGCTGATTCTCAGTCTTTCCCTTAGTTTAAGTATCCTCTGGTTAGATGCT